CCATACTCTCCTCCATTATTGCTGCTGCTCCCTAAAAGCAGCCTTCTCTATCTTCTTCACATACTAACTTGAGCGTCGGAGGCTCTACGCCGGAAACACCTCCGGCGTTGAGTTTCTTGCAGGTGTTCTTGCGGTTCGGCAGCAGTTTGAAAGCCATCGAGTCGGATCTAAGCCCATCCTCACCGGTTCGCTCCAGATCTGAGCCCATTCTCATCAGTTCGCTCCAGATCTGGGAAGAGACCCATCAAGACCCAAGAGTGGGCTTAGTCTCTTTTTTCTAGTGCCACATAAGCTAGACCATGTCTACTTTTTAATGCATTGGAATACATTGTTTTATAGATTAGGTCTATTTCTTACATGACACTTGATTTTTTGTATTAGACCCAAAGCATTGTGGGTGCTCTTAGGATACAGTACTCAATTTAAGGGGTATAAAATTCTTCTCAAATCTGGAAAAGTTATTATAAATCGAAATGTTGTTTTTAATGAACATTGTTTTCCTTTTAAAATTCCTAAGCAAACTAAGCATCACTGTATTATTCTTTTATGCATGATTCACTTGTCTCAAATTCCATTCCCACATTACATAACCCTTCACAACCTGCTCCATCAAATGACACACCATCAAATGATCCACCTCCAAATAACACACCACCCACTAGTCCATCATCACATAATACACCACCACATAATCCACCTCCAAATGCTTCACTACCTCATACTCACACCCCTACCACTTCATCCTCTATAGTTGATTCCTCACCACATGATATTTTCAATCCCATCACCACTCCTGATGCTCCACCACCTTTTAACCAACATCACATGTTGACTAGATCACAGAGGGGCATTTTTAAGCCTATAGTTTATTCTTCTACCCTCATCTCTTTTGAGCCCAGTGACCATCATGAGGCTCTTCATATGCTACCCTGGAAACAAGCTATGGAGACGGAACATGCAGCTTTCCTCAACAACCACACTTGGGATATAGTCCCATTACCTCCTGGGAGAAAAGCTGTGGGTTGCAGATGGGTCTACAAGACCAAGTATAGTCCCAATGGATCTGTTTTCAGGTACAAGGCTCGGCTTGTAGCCAAAGGCTACACTCAAACTTCTGGTATTGATTTTCATGAAATTTTCAGTCATGTTGTTAAGCCAGTTACAATCAGAATGGTCTTGACTATATCTTTATCCAAGGGTTGGCCTGTCAAACAACTTGATGTTGACAATGCATTCCTCCATGGTTCTTTAGATGCATCTATTGACATTTAGATGCAACAGCCACCAGGGTTTGAGTCTCTTTCCAATCCTCAGCATGTCTGCAAACTTAGAAAAGCTATTTATGGTCTCAAACAAGCCTCCAAAACTTGGTTTCATAAATTGAGAGTTGTTCTTGGCTCTTTGGGATTTCACTCTTTTTTTGCTGATGCTTCTTTGTTTGTCAAGAAAACTGCTCATTCCATTGTTTATATCCTTGTTTATGTTGATGACATGGTCATCACTGGCAACTCCTCCACTGAGGTCAATTCCATTATACAGTTGCTTTCCCAGGCTTTTCCAATTAAGGATCTTGGCTCCCTTCATCATTTCCTTGGTATTCATATTCATCACACCAAGGAAGGCATGTTGTTGTCCCAACAAAATTATTTGCAACAAATTTTGATCAAGGCTAACATGCAAGATTCTAAAAGTCTCTCTTCTCCTATGCTCAGTTCACCTGCTTTATCCAAGTATCAAGGGAATCCTTTCACAGATGGTCTTCTCTACAGACAAATAATAGACAGCCTTCAATACGACGCAGAATTTTCTCTCAGCCAGGGCAATATGAAATGAAGAAATACTATTTTTTTTTTTTAATTCACTTCAGTTAAAACAAAAAAAAAAAAATACAACTTTTCAGTCAATGACGAGAAGGTAATTGTCCACGACACGATTTCATATTTTGAAACCGATGCATTATAACATCATTTTTGAAATCGATGCATTATAACATTATTTTGTGTATATGTGCAACAATACTTTTAACGTGTTCAATTCCAACAAACCTTTTTTGTTGATGCAAGTCTGCATTCAACAATTGATTTCAATTAACATAAGAAATTACCAAATTCAAACTTCGACATCCAACACACTCATTTATAAACAAAATCAATTCAAGACCGAGACCAAATTCAAACTTCAACATTGAAAAAACTCATTTATAAACAATATTTCAATTCAATTCAGTTATTTCATAAATTGTACGCACGCGGCACACCGAATTACCGAGAGAGCTGCCCGACAGAGACGGAATTTACAGTAAAAAGTGAAAAACAAACATAATATAATAAACAAAACTCTGAGTTTAAAAATAATAAAACGGAAACTCCATTCTCTATTTAATAGTTAATACATAGAGATACAAAATCTAGGCCATGGATTAAGTCGTTTAATTAAATTCCCTTTGGCATGTTATCTCCGTTCTCCCCCACATTATCTACCAATATTTATCAAATCAATTGCAATAAAATTATTAATTTATAATATAATTATATAGGAAATATTGGTTTTTATTCCCTACTAATTCTGCTCCCAAGCCTCCCATAAAGTGACGACCTCATATACAATTAAAAAGAAAAAAAAAATGATAAATATGAATACTTGAACATATAAAGTAATAAAACACTTACATTAAAACTAAAGCGGAGAAATCTTGATCAAACAATTAAAGCAACGATCCCATTCTCCTTCCCGTCAACAATTAAAGGATTTTTTTAATCAATTTATTGATTCACGAAAAGAAAAAACGAACAAATTAAAGGAAGATGAGAGTTGATGGTGTTCCACTACTAATTTTGAAATTAGAAGATCCTTTTTCCCAAAATAAAAATTTGGGATCTTGTCTTCAGTTCTTTGCATTTAAGAAGCAGGTGAAAGTTATGTTTTTTTTTTATTATTTCCTTATGTCTGCGTGTGTGTAGGGGTTGGGTTATTTTATTTTATTTTTTTATTTTTGACATTTTTAACAAAAATGCCGATGTTTGGCTTAATTTTTTTAATTAAATGAAAGCCAACACGACGTCGTTTTATACGTAAATTAATAAAAAAACACTTACCAGTCATCTTCTTCCCTCATTCCCTACGCGTACATAGTTCTTTTTTTGCCATCTTTCACCAAGAAAATTCTATTAACACAATAACATATACTTAGCTGTAAAAATTCAGCCTGGGCAACTGCCCAGGCTCGCCCATGTGTAAATCCGCCCCTACCTCACTATTACAAGTACATTTGTTTTTCAGTCAACAAATTGAGTCAGTTCATGCAGTCCCCCTTAGACAGACATTGGAAATCAGTGAAAAGGCTGCTTAGGTACTTAGTTGGTACTCCAGATTTTGGCTTGATGTTGTACAAATCAAATTAATGTTTCAGCCTTCTCAGACTCTGATTGGGCTGCTGACCCTGATGACAGAAAGTCCACATCTGGTCACTGTGTTTTCCTTTGTTCAAACCTCGTTTCATGCAGTTCAAAAAAGCAGCATACAGTTTCCAAGAGCAGTACTAAAGCAGAGTATAGAAGCTTAGGCCATGTTGTATCAGATGTTTTATGGGTCAACATTCTACTCAAGGAACTTCATGTTCCTCAATATCAGGCTCCAACAATTTGGGTTGACAATCTTGCTGCTGTTTTCATGTCTAGCAATCTTGTGATTCAAGGTTGCACAAAACACATTGAGGTTGACCTTCATTTTATCAGAGAGAAGGTTCTCAACAAGACAATTTCTGTCCTCCATGTTCCTGCTATTGATCAAGCAGCTGACAACTTTACTATACCTTTAACCGAACAATTCTTCACTCGCATGCGTAATAAGTTGAACATTCTTCCATTAAGATCATTTGAATTGAGGGGAATGTTGGAGGATAACTAAACATTTATCAATTTGTCCTTTTCCACGTACGCATGATGACATGCAACCTGCATGACCTGGGAGCACCTTATAGCCGTTTGGCTTTCTTGGCATTTTGTTCCTTATTTTCCAGCTCATTGCACTAGGTTAATATTATCTAGTATAGGGTCTAGAGAGGTCTATTATCTTGTATATATACATTACCCATTAGGTTTTGATGTATTACCTTCACAGTGAAAAGCAAAGGCATAACCTGTCTATTTTGGTTTCTTTCTCTTTTAGCTAAACACTTCCTTATCAAATCCGAAAGCATGATTTGTTTTAAGTCCAACATGTAAACTGAAAATCGAACCAAATAATCGGTTTCGGTTTCAGTCCAAACCAAATTTTCGGTTTCGGTTGGTTGGTCTCAATTAACCGACCTTTGTGCACCTCTAAATCACATGTAGCAAATACAAATATATATTTATTCGTATAGTACAATCCACCCACTGTGTATTAATTTAGTAATCCCTCCTATTTTTTTAAATGTCATTCTAGTTTTATCAACTATTACAAAATAAATGTGGTTTTGAATATTTTGTACATATTTTTCCATTATTACTCTCATTTAGCTAATAAATACATTACATCTTCTCAAATTCACTCTTCACTTTTTCTCAAAACATTCATCTATATCTTCATTAAATAAGATTATTATTGACAAAAAAAAATATTCTTAATCATGTACAACTTTTCAAAACGATACATATTAAAAGTAGGAGGTAGTACAATTCTATCCGGCTTTAAATGGGGGATATACACAAGTGTAATCCCTTGATAGGGGATAAAAATGCATCAATCATATCTATGGTAACAAACAGTTTTCATCATTCAGCCGGGATAACGATGGATACTATTCGGGAGCAAATAATAAACGCGTTAGGCATCAGCAACTTATAAAGGTCAACATTAACAAAATCTAATCTCGTTCCTCAAGCGTGTAATTTTGGCAGCCAGTTCCCCCAAAAATTCAATCTTGAAATAAGATCAAAACCCCAAATCCCCTTGCCAAATCCAGCTCGAAATCGAGAAATCCATCCTACTAAAAGTCTGTAAATTGATGATCGGCGACGATGTATAGCAATTTCAAAGAGCAAGCAATCGAGTACGTGCGGCAGGCGGTGTCGGAGGACAATGCCGGCAACTATGCCAGGGCCTTTCCTCTGTATATGAACGCATTGGAGTACTTCAGGACCCATCTCAAGTACGAGAAGAACCCTAAGATCAAGGAGGCCATTACCCAGAAGTTCCAGGAGTACCTGCGCCGGGCCGAGGAGATCCGTGCTGTGCTCGACGACGGCGGCTCGGGGCCCGCGCCCAACGGCGACGCAGCCGTTGCCGCCCGTCCCAAGACCAAGCCCAAGGACGGCAACGACGGGGAGGACGGAGACAAGGAGAAGCTTCGGGCCGGGCTGAACTCGGCTATCATCAGGGAGAAGCCCAATATCAAGTGGAATGACGTGGCGGGACTCGAGAGCGCTAAGCAGGCGCTGCAGGAGGCTGTCATACTTCCGGTGAAGTTCCCTCAATTCTTCACTGGTATTGTCTTCCACTTTACCTTTGTGACTTGTGGCTAGATTTGATTGTAAGGCATTGAGATTTAATTTCATTTTAGCATACATTCAATATATTCCGGAGAGAAAGTGGTGATTGGCCATTTGGGTTGAATTAGAAAACAATGTTTAGCATATTTACAACAGATTAGTTTAGCCTGTGGTTATCATCTTAGTGTAATAAAGATGCATATTTCTGCCCGAATGTTTTTGAACTTTTTTTTATGGAGTTTTTACGTTTCTAGGCAAGAGGCGACCTTGGAGGGCTTTTCTTTTGTATGGACCACCTGGGACTGGGAAATCTTACTTAGCTAAGGCCGTGGCAACCGAAGCTGACTCAACATTTTTCAGGTACTTTATCCATTCACATCATATCAACATACCCAGTATATTCCCAACAGGTACTTTATCCATATCTTTGTTTATTTCTTTACTGTTCCTATAGTACAACGAGCCCAATATAAAGATGTGATTCTTATCATCAGAATCGGAGTTAGGAAACAATATGTTAGCAATCAGGATTTAGTTCTTAGGGAAAGAGAACCTTTATATATTGCTGGCAATTTATGTCTGGTGGCATAGAGTCAAACATATTAGTGTTCCATGCCCTGGTCTTTGATACATAATAATTGTGTGTAAAGGTGAAGCTTTACCATGTAACATGGAGCTAAGATTGGGCTGAGATAAGGAGCTTTTTAACATGTAATGGCGGCTTATGCCAATTTTCACTGTGATACTGCTAACATTTGCAGGCCCAACCCTGGCATTGATTTTCCTCAATCCCCTACTTATTTAGGTTGTGCCCATTATTATCATCAATTGCTTTTTTGCTGTGTGTCATGCGAGGTGTTCCTTGATGACTTTGTTATATGTTTGTTTTCTCTGATTGGTTAGCTAAAACTTGCTCCACAGCTTTAGTAGCTAACAAGACAACCTTTTTTGCATCTCCATCACGGGGTAGAAGCTAAAAATAACTTTAGCTATATGGGCTAGCTAACAATAGGTAGCAAGATGGTGCAATACTCATTCACTTCTATTAAACTTTTCAAGTGTGATCTTTGAGTTAAAATAATATAATAATGCATGTTAGCTAAAATAGAGTGGTGTGGTCTAAATAACCAGTAGATTTTTTGTATTTTGAAGTTTTAGCTATCTAAAATAACTAAGATTCCAACATGGTTGGAATTGCTGTAAAGCACGTGTTTGTCTTATGAATCTTTCCATTTGCCTTTTATGTTCCTTATTTCCATTGATTGAGTACTTAGGCCACAAAGTTGGCAAGTGCCAACTGCTTTTCATTCTCAGTATATCTTCGTCGGACCTGGTATCGAAATGGATGGGTGAAAGTGAAAAGCTAGTGTCGAACCTCTTCCAAATGGCACGTGAAAGCTCTCCTTCCATCATATTTGTTGATGAAATAGATTCTCTAGTTGGACAGCGTGGAGAAGGAAACGAGAGTGAGGCTTCTAGACGAATTAAAACAGAATTGCTGGTGCAGATGCAGGTAATCTAGATTAAGTCTAGATGAGTATGACACGACTTTCATTATAATAGTTAAGCGAATTTAGGGTGTGCTTGGATACAAATGTATCCGCTCAAAACGAGTTTTTTTTGTTAACCAAGGTTAATTTTGAAAAAGTTGGTATGGTTAGTTGTTAGTGAGATTTTGAGTTTATATTAAAATAATATTTAATTAATATAATATAATCGAAGTTGATTTGATGTGAAAGTATGAGAAATGATGTGAAGTGATAGTTAGTTAAAATTGTTTTAGTGGATGAATGGTGAATTAAAGTTGATGTAATGTGTAAGAATGGTTGTTTGGTATTATTTAATTGTATTGATAATATTTGGAAAAGTGGAGTTGGGTTAAACTTGAGTCACATTTTGAGTATGGGTTGGAAAAGTTTATAAACAAACACCCCCTAGTGATTTGTACATCATGGCTTGAGTTTCTTGCATCTAGAATCTGCATAAGAGGTCTTTTAATTTCTACATTCGAAATTCTTATGCTTTTTCTGGATAAATAAATCAGAATTCCTCAGTTGGATCACTTTATTTTTTGTGCAATTTCATATGTTTTTTGTTGCTACATTGGAGAATTTCCACAAAAGTCGCACATCCTTGATATGAGTTGCTTGTTAATTGGATGGTCTTCATGCTTATGATTCTTATGGTTTCTTCTGTTGTAAGCGCTTGTCATATCCATGGGTATGCCAACCATCCAACCTATCTTCTGTTGTAATCATGGGTATCTTTGATGGTTGGCATTGTCAAAAAGTTCTTCATATTCTTTTCATGCTTTGACGAGTTAGCTTAAGAATTATATGCATGTGTGGATAATGTGAGCGCATACATGTGCGTGTGTGCTTGTGATGTGAAATACCATCGAGTTATTGAATTCCTATTAATTGGGACAGAAAATGATAGATGAATAAAGTGAAATGTGTCGTCAAAATAATTTTATGTGATATCCAGCTTGGCCACAACATTTATGTTTACATTCTATTTTAATGTACAATATCCCAACACTCTCCTTCCTCACTGTGACCTTGATTTGTTAATGAAGATAATGTAATACTTACCAGCATCATTGCTATTGTGTATCGATTAATAGGGTGTGGGCCACAATGACGATAAAGTCCTTGTTCTTGCTGCTACAAACACTCCTTACGCTTTGGACCAGGTAACATTTAATTCCAGATTGAGGCCGTTAAAAGAAATCTTATGTTTTTTTTTGACTCGCAAATTTTTCTGTAGGCTATTAGACGGCGTTTTGACAAGCGCATATACATCCCTCTACCTGATGCAAAAGCACGTCAGCACATGTTCAAAGTGAGAAAAACCTGTTTCTTTTTAATTATATTTGCAGACAATGAACCACAAGTGATAGTTGAAGATTTAAATTTTTGCATTGGGGCCGTGTTAATCTCATGCAGGTGCATTTAGGGGATACTCCCCATAACTTGACAGAAAGCGACTTTGAAGTCCTTGCTCAAAAAACTGATGGCTTTTCTGGTTCTGATGTTTCTGTTTGCGTAAGTTGTGTGAAACTGTTTTTTCTGTTCACTGCTTGATGTTTTGCATCCTGCTTTTGCTTACTTTCACACAACGTTTTGCTTAAATATAGGTAAAAGATGTCTTATTCGAGCCCGTGCGCAAAACACAAGACGCCATGTTCTTTGTGAAGACTTCTAATGGCATGTGGATGCCATGTGGGCCCAAGCAGCCGGGTGCTGTCCAGATAACCATGCAGGAGCTAGCTGCACAAGGACTGGCTGCAGAGGTATATTGGATCACAGATAGTTTAACAAAATCTCGGCTAGATTAATTACCAAAAATTGAAAATAATAACTTTTTTTAATGGGAGAATCACGAATAACCCCTGTGCTGTTATCATATGCTGTCACTTCTTGGGATGGTTATCTGAAATAAAGTTAGATTAGCTATTGTGTGAATTTTCTGCAACTTTGATTTTGCTGTAGATTATTCCACCTCCCATATCAAAAACGGACTTCGACAAGGTGCTCGCCAGACAAAGGCCAACAGTGAGCAAATCGGATCTCGATGTGCATGAGAGGTTCACAAAGGAGTTTGGTGAGGAAGGTTGAAAAGAAATCCGGATGCTCTGAGTCGA